CACTGAATAGGGAACTACAAGATGGGGTTGACAAAAGTGTTAAGCCAAACCAAGCTGAGTGCTATTAAAAGACCCCTCTGCTTTAAGCCTTATGTGGGGCACATAATGCACCTTGAGAGGTACAGACTGAAGGGGAGAAAAATGGTGCAAAGAGGGCAGTGTATGATACCTTCATGAAAAGTTGGGGCTGTAAGGACAACAGTCATTATTGTTAGCTGAGACAGTCTGTATTTACTATAGTTTCTGATTATAGAGGAAGCAAACGAGTATATGTGGCTGAAATTAGAACTACTTTAAAATCAATGTGTAGTACATTTGTTTATGTTCAAAAATAGAGACAGTGATGGGGGAGAGGTGAAGAGTCAGAGAGTGTTCGGGCCTGTGTCTTGTGAGCTTTCTGTTGTAAGCTCACAGAGAGAGAGGGGTTGGAAATAAATGTGTGTGCTTTGTCCAGACTTGTTTATATTGTTTTTGCGGTTTTTTGCGGTTATTGCTATTTATTACTACGGCTATATTACTACTGAAACCAATTTCAATCATCTGTTTATTTCACAAAAAAAGAACAGCTTGTCATGGAATATATCCAAGATCTCCTCCAGCAAAGTTCAGCAACTGGTTACCTTGGACAGAATGTACTTTAAATAAAGTCTACATATTTTGTTTTTTGCAGCGGTCATGTACAGTATTGTTCCACATAAATGCGTTTTGCTTAACCACTTTTTAAAACCACTTGAACTTGAAATCCAGCTTTGTTGTTGCAAAAAAAGCTTGCATATAGGTCCCCGGCTGACCCCCAGTTCCATGAAACTGCAAAAACGTACGACCAGTATGTTAACATTTGTGGGAAGAACACATTGATGGGCTTCACTAGCAGCCATGTTCACTTAGTTCGACTTTTGTTCATTTGTGCAATGACTGGGCGAGCGCGTCTGAGGAGCAGACAATTACTGATATTTGCTGGCAGCTATCAGAGAGAGAGAGGCAGAGGAACACAAGGCTGGAGCTGCACTCCCACCATTTAATTAGAGTGCACCTAAGAATGCCTAAATAAAACGCCAAACAGAAAAGAATTCTCCAATCCCATGATGCACTTTCAATACACAGCTATATTCTTGCTACGATCCAGAACTTTAGTAAACGAGGATGTGTAAGGGTTAGATGAAGAAAGGGTGAAGTAGCAACGCGTTGGGGGAAAAATAGCAGTAAAGCTGATTTCATGCTTGGGGGATTGCATCTCATTTTATTGTAGAACTGTGTGGCCTTGGTTCAAATGCATTTACTGCCACCTGCTGCTCAATAGCTATATTGTCAAACTAACAAGAGAATTGGAGGGAAAAAGCCTTCAAAGTCAAGTTCCTTATCTCGAAATGGTGGTGTCATGTATTCTTGCGAGTGCTTTTTGCTGAAATTCAAGCTAACCACAAAGCACATCTCCTGTTTAGATTTTCAGTCTGCAATTTGTTGCCTTATCTTGAATTTTCTCAAATGGAGGGAGCAGGAAATGGAGAGAACGTGTTTGATAGAGTTGAAAATCAGCGGCAAAATTCTCATTAGGGTGCAATAGGACCTGGTTAAGAATGCCATTACACGCATGGGCAGAGAAGTCAATATAGGCATCAGTCTACAAAAAGCAGAAATAAGCTCAAAAGCTGCAATGTCATGAAGGTCTTGGACTAAGTTACTGTCTGGGAACCTGCGTGGTTCAACTAAATATATGTGTGCGTCAATATGAAATCAATATAAGACTTAGGCCCTCGTCATCCCAGGCAGTGCTGTGAGCAGATTTAATGGCAGCTTTCTCATCACTAATTAACACATAAACACAGCACTCCCTATCTACATAAGTCTTTGTCAAGGCAACATCAAGGTTTTACAAAGATGTTTTAATTACAGCTTTCAATTAAAGAACAGAGAAAAAAAACGCATTTTGCTATATAACTACATTACATAACATATATTTACTGCAATAATGATAATAATGCACTGGTTTTATATCGTACTTTTTGACTACCAAAGTAGCTTCACAAGTCATTTTCGATTCACTCCATACACAGTTGTGATAAGCTCCTACTGTAGCCACAACTGCCCTGGGGCACACTGTCAGAAGCGAGGTAACCAGTATATTCCAATGGGCACCTCTCACCAACAACCAACCATTCACACACAGTTTACAGCCGCCCCCCTGTGGCACCTGCTGTTCCCAGAGGTCTCCATCACAGTGCTTAACAGGCCGTGTATAGCTTCAGAGGTCTGACAGGATCTGGCTTTCACCTTCAGGTGGCCACATTATTGTCAGCTGCTTGTCTCGATGCATGTAATGCTGCACTAAAGAGCATTCCATGCAAAGCAATGACATCTCACATCAGTGCCAGAAACAAAAGTATAATATATGAGTATGTGCATCAGTCCTGGGTCTACTGTCCGTCTGTCAGTGGATGTCTCCTTTATAGTGGTTCACTTTGGTTCTTCCTTTCTCTTTTTCCCTGGATTTTTGTGGGGACCTTTATCCATGATCTTAATTTCTTTAAACATTGTTTAATATTTTAGTTGTAGGATTAATTTTTTGATTTGCTATGTCTCAAAATCTACGATTGGCAAATCCTTCATTTTGTTTAAAACTTCAGGGCGCCTGCTGTTGTCATTCTGTGCTCGACAAAAATACAATCAATTTCAGCAGCAATACTCCAAAACATACCAATGCTTCATCGATGATCCAACACATTTAAAAGAAAATGCATTTATAGACAACGATGAAATAGAAAGTGAGACTGAAAGGAAACAGCAAACTCAATTTAGCAAAAGTGGGACCTTCAAACAAGCCAATTTACTCCTTCTCATCCAATGCAGATTTCCACTTTGAGTGCAGCGCAAACATTTCGCAGAGCAGAAAATGATGATTTGAGAGATATAAAGTCACAGACAGTGGCCTGGCGCTGGGATGAGCACGATTAGCGGATGCCAATGTTCACGCCGAGCAGCCCTTCTAACAGCCTTTGCACCTCATTAGTCTAACCCAGCAGTGGCATGCCCCCACTATTAACCGCTAAATGAAAGACCTCCGAGCGCGATTACTGGAGGGAAGTCCCCTGTCGTCATGGGGATAACAGACTACACACACAAATATAGCCTTTCACGATACCCATTTGAAGGGCGCTTATGAAAAGTGCATATTTACCACATCATTGGGCAGGACTCAAAAGCCTGCGACATGAAAGACTTGGATTGTAACCCATGAGGACAAAATGTGCAGCCAAACAACCAACAATTCGTTTTGAAGATCATACATTTTTGATCAACTTTTAAGTCGAGCTCAAAACATCTGATAAATACTTGAGAGAAAAAAATTGCTGAAAGTTCCACAGCCAAGGATACATCAAGAGCCTCCTATAGCGGTGTAGCTACTGTATGCATGTGTGTGTGTGGTGTCGTTGGCGTCTTTCATGTACGCACTTCACAGACTCGTGCAAACGTGTGATGTTTGAAAATGTGGGCAGAATGCAGATTTGACATTTGGTAAAGGACCCACCCAACAATTAAGTATCACAACTGCCTACATTAAATGAAATAACAAGGTTGTGTGCATGTTCTCAGTTAGAAGGCAGGTGCCAAAACAAATCTATGGGAATCAAGCCAATGTTTTTAACAACATGTTGAAAAAAAAAATGATTGGATAGAGATTAGATGACCAAAACTTAATTTACATAGAATTTAGATTACTGTAGTAACTAGGAAAGATGTTTCAGCTGCCCTCCACCACAATCTTTAAACTATAGGCTATTGAATGAAATGTCACATGAATGCAGCCTATTAGTAGAGGTGAGAAAGCTCAAGGTAAGAATTTTATTTGCAGGTTAAACACATTTGGTTTTTAGTTGGAGGGATCCTATTTAAGTTTTTCACTTTTTCCAAGTAATTTGCTATTTAAATTAAGTTTAAAAATTAAATTTAAAATTAAATTTAAAATTAAATTTAAATTTTGTGTTTATTATAGATCCATGATGAGTGAAGGACAAGTACACGCTCAAAACTCAACTCCATGTTACATCAACATCAAATGTGCAAAATGGCAACCACTATATAAAGCAGTGAAACAATACAATTGCGTTTTTAACAATCTGTAATCCTGAAAATGTTCATGATTTGGCACATATCACTAAATATTCATATCCACTCGGCACGGTGGCTGAGTGGATAGCACTCTCGCCTCTCAGCAAGAAGGTCCTGGGTTCGAATCCCGGTCGGACCAGGGCCTTTCTGAGTGGAGTTTGCATGTTCTCCCCGTGTCTGCGTAGGTTTCCTCCGGGTACTCCAGTTTCCCCTACCGCTAAAAATATGTACAATAGGTCTGGCAAGCGCCTCCTGTACTGGCGACCCAGCTCCCATCTCTGTGTGGAGTGAGAGGACAAATGCCCAAAAAATAACAATTGTAAAACCGCTTTGAGACTCAGATCTGCAGTGAAAAGGTGGTATATAAATGATTACTTACTTACTTACTAAATCACAAAAATAAGGGGTGTGAAATATGAATAATGAAGTATGGCGTTAAACAAATCCGAAACATTGGAGCGTAGGTGACGCAACGGACAAGGTAAAAGCTAGACCTTCGGAAATATAACCCTCTGAGCAATACAATAAATCTGGTAAATCTGTAATATTATATAGTATTTCTCTATCCAGCCATTTGTGCTCTTTTGATCAGACTAGGCTGACACTACCTAGTGCCTCAGCTTAGTTTACTTTCACTATTTCTGCTAGATCATGCAGACCAAGAACAAGGAAGTACAGTTGGCCAATCAAAGAACAGAGGTGAAACCATGACATCAAGCTCAAGCATTTGAATATAGTTCAGCAGTAAACAAAGCAGTTGAGATTCTGTGGCCCAAGTCTCACAGAATGTTTGAAGAATTGTATCCGACCAAACAGCAGCGATTGGTTAAAGCCAAGAAGAAACCGGCCTACCATGGAGCAAACAAATCCCAATTCCGCTAAGTAAATAAAATTTACTCACGGTCGTTGCAGTGCGTGCCGCTGTAGGAGGTCATGGTGCAGTCGCAGGTGAAGTTCTCCCAGTGTTGGATGCACACGCCCATGTTGGCACAAGAGTCGTCCTGGCACGTCGTACTGGGGCCTGGGTCACGAGAGGCGAACAGAAGGAGGACACAGGTGCACAATTAAACACGGAGTATAGGCTTTCGCAGAGTCAGCAGCAGCACCGGTGTCATGCAGAAGAATAATGCACTCCCAACAGCTAAACATACAGATATATTATAAGGTCTGTTCCCATAGTTCAAAATATAAAAAATAGGGCCAGAATGACATGACAGGGAACATAAAAATGGTCAGGAGAAATCAGAAGCCTTTGTATCGAGCATCACAATGGGACACAAGCAAATTGAAGATGACACCTTTGAAAGCAGACAATTTTAAATGAGTGCCAAAATTGATTGTCAGTGACTTTTCAAACGAGCGAGTGCATTGAATACAAGCACTTCCTGATTGGATTAAAGTAGGCCACTTATCATTTGTTTAACTATTCTTCTCCAGCAAGTCTTACTGGTCGTAGCTACTGGTAGGGAGTGTTTTAAATATATTATTGTTGAACATTCCTTACTGTAAATTATATTATTGTGACCCGGCCTATTGTATAAATTAAATACAAAATTGCAAACCTTTAACATGCATATTCCACTTTTCTCTTCAGGTGAAAATTGGTAACATAATAATATATAATATATAGTTTGTATAGGAAGTACACGTATAGGAAAATAGGAATCAAATGATAAAACTGTACATACTTCATTCCCATTGTGATTTTTCTTGTCTGTCATGTCATTTGTAAACTTATTTTTGTACATTTTGAAGAATTATAACGGAGAGCTAATATTTTGGCACTATAATGTACATAATTTGTGTTCTGGAGAGAGACAGTGCCACCTCAAGAGGCCCAGAGAAAAGCTAATTAAACAGTGTAGCAAAGCTTTTAGTCAGGTCAAAGAGGTCTAACAACACATCACTGCTCGATTAGGAGAGCAGCGAGAATAACTTGATTTGAGAAAGAAAAGGCTGGCTTCTGAAATTGGTCTTGAGTACGTGAGCTTGTATGGTAACACTGTCTTCAGTCCATAGTCCTGTGTAATGTTTGCGGACATGCATGCAGTAATCATTCCAACATGTGGTGAGGAGTTTTATCCGAGTAAAACTTGTAACGCTGCATTCCCTCTGTGGACAGACACAAAAACTAAGGGTCGACCGATTGTTGACACCAAAAATCAGCTAAAATCGATATAAGCCGATTTTACAGTATCTAATTGAAAAAATTGTATAAGTCAAATGATTAGTCTTGTCCAGCCTACTGTACAAAACAAAAAAATATACAACTCAAACTAAAGATCTACTACACAACAACAATGATGTTGTCATAGCCTAAAGCAGTCTAGTTTAGTTTAATTTGGTTTATTTTCAAATCAACTGAAAACACGTCACTTAAATTTGGATAAGATCAAGCCTCTGTTCCAACCAGGACTCTAATGCTAAGAAACATAGAGCTAACCACTCTGCTAACCCTAATCCAATCGGTAGACCCCTAAAAAACAGCAACACTTCCAACTTTTGACCTGCTTTGGACACATAGAGACTAAACAAAAAACAGAGAGGACAACAGTGAACGTATGAAGTGGCAGTGCATGTTTCGGGCGGATGCACTGAGCTGACGACTGTATTCAAAGTCAAACCTGATGTGGTGCTGCCCGTCATCCACATCATACACACTCACCCTCCTCACTTTTGAATACGCAGAGGGAATGCAGAACACGGCCCGAGTGCGCGGCATACTCAAGGGTGAACAACCTCCTGCTGAAGCTATATAGGCTCGAATGGGGGCGAACAGAAACCCACTTGATAACCACAAAACCAAAAATGAAACTTAAATTAAAAAAACAAAAATGAAGGACAAGTAAACAGAAGCAAGTCTAGTGCAAGACAATGCGACGAAAAAAAAAAAAAAAGACAAGTTGTACAAAATTGTTGTCTGAAAGAGTGGCTTGTGCAACACATGCAGTGGAGTGTGGCAAACGTCCTGATGGTTTAGGGTCACATGGGGTTCAGGTCGACAGGGAAGAACACCCACTCTCTGAATAAAACACAATCCTATATAGATTGGGATTAGATAAAATTAGATGTTAGTCATAATTGATATTGAATATTGAATACCATTACAAACCCTAAGAAGAAAACTATCTGTAATTTACCCACTGTGGGATTAATAAAAGTATTAATTAATTCAAATATTTAAGAGCATGAGTTAGACTTGCTCCTGCTTGATACAAAAAAACTGTCTTCCTGAAAATGTGAGTCAAGTTTTAAAAAGTTAATTTAATCTGTGATAACTGAAAGATTCTAAAATGTATTATCTTGATGTAATGATATATGTTTCTTATTTTAATGTTTTGAGTTGTCCTCGAGAGATTTGTCCAATACAAATAAACTTGCCATCCATTATATTTATTTTTTTCTCATGTTTGTCTGTTTGATGTATTGTACAGCATTCCCCTGTCTTGTCTGTACTTTTGAACTGCATGTTATGACTATATGTTGCAAAGATAGGACTGTCAAACAATTACTACTATTACTCAAGTTTAAATCGCATTTTTAACATTCTATTTCAAATCCACTCCAATTGAAGTTAAATGAGATTATCAAATATCAAATGTAAAGCAAACTGTTTGATTTGCTCACGACCTTTTACTTTTGGGCACAACCAACATGAGCTGTTGATGAAAGGGAAAATGTACAAACCTCAGCTTTAATTGAGCGAGTTTAGTTGCGTTTCAGGAGGAGACACAGGGGAGACATGGACACTTCCTGAGGCTCCATAGTTTAGCTTCAGCAGTGTATTTATTGTGTTTATAGTTTACGCAAAGACACCCACACAACAAGCAGAGAATAGCAACAAGAACAAGAATGGCAAGAGCTCTGGTGTGTGTCGTCTGGCGCACACCGGGGTAGTCTTGCACAGTTTTCCAATGTGGTTTTACTGCAAATGGCAAATAAATGAATCTGAATCTGAATCTGAATAATTCTGTGGCATGTATGATCTTATATGACCACGTTATCGCGGCGCCATTCACCGTGTTGTTGTTAGCGGCTCACAGCCGCCGGAGGTGGGAACCTCTGTCTTTTAAAACTTTAATTCCCAGAGACCTGCTCTGTTGCCATCTCACACACACACGTGTCCGCGGCATTCTGAGTGTTATTATGGGATACTTGGGCGGGTCATTCGGACATGCGTCAAACGCGTTAATGTTTTTAAACGCGATTAATGAAAAATGTGAATGACGTGTGGTAACGCAATAATTTTGACAGCCCTATGCAAAATGAAAACAAAAAACTTGCCTTGTCTTACATTTACTACTATAGCAGTTACTCACCTAAAATAAAGCAGAATATATAGTTCTACTAACTGAAGGCAAAAGGGGAGACTAATCCAAATTTACGAGTCCATTAAAAAGATAAGACTTGTATTCACAGATGCTCTAGTATGCTTATTTTATGAAAATTGCTTTAATTGTACAACTTCTCTTGAGCTCCAGGCTGGTAAAGATAGCTCAGTGTAATTTATTTCTTTGTGTCGGATCTATTTTAATTAATTATGACTCACAAACCGAAAATCAATACTAACAATGACAGCGCTCTAACCTCCAAATCCAACTTCAAACTCGTGCTTCGTGCTAAATGAAAGGCAGCTCTAATAAGTCCTCTGTCACTTTGTTCCAGCGGTGGTGGCGTCTATTGAAGAGCGCGCTCCTCCCACACACGGATCACGAAGCCGTCTCCTCCACTACCTTTCCACATATTTACACAAACATCACTCATTTGCCTATTCTGCCGCTGCTTAATCACCATCCACTCAACACTGTTTGTTCCAATATGCTCGGACGCCCACATGCCACAGGACTCGCCTTGACGGAGTTGTAACGTTTAATGATGAGGTTATGTAATTAAAACCATTAGCTTTCAGTATTCATTTGCAAGGAAGGTGGGAATGAATGAACATGTACATATTAAAAGCTAACCTTTTGACCAATGCCAACTTTGTTTTGGTTTTTTTCTTATATTGCACTGAAATTTGAAATATACCATGCTATTACTATTCATATATACATAAATACACTGAGTTGACATGTAAGTAACAATACGTTTTCAGAACAGTAAGATACATTTAGATTTCATGCCAGGCAAGACAATTCTAAAAATATTTTGTTTCTTTTTTTAATGTCATGTTTTGGAAGTTTTCAGTTCAATACAACTCCTCATCTAGATAATTCTATTGAATATGTGAGTCACAAAACTAAATTAAATATCACTATTATTTACCACACGTTTATCTTTTTTGATCATGAAGTAGAAGTGAATTTCAAACATATTTTCTTCTTTACTACAATTGTTCTAGGAAACTTGTCTTTTTAGAGAGTGGGTGACCTCAGCTGCACCACGATGCATTATATCCAGGCGACACCCACAATGCATTGCACACAGCAGACTTTCAGACAAGCGGGCCACTGGGGGCGTAGGCAACCCTCTACCTTGAAGGTCGGCTTTGGTGAAACCAACTTTGTTAGCGCCAAAAGTAAACAACCACGACAGAAGAGCGGAAAAGAAGAGGAGAGGTTAGTGAGGGGCAGCATTGTTAGTGATTCTGAACATTCTCAAAGTTTCTCACAATGAAGAAATATTTGTTATGATATACAGTAACTACAGGTTTTTTTTTTAATGGTGTGATAATAGGGCCTGGAAGTTGTTTTTCTTGGTCCAAATGGGTAAAGAATTTGCCTGAGAAAAAAATGACTAAAATGCATCAACAGTGATCAATCTAACTGGCTATTAATACTGGCCATGAAAACTCAAAAACCATGTTTATCTTCACGCACTGAGCAAAGTGCTTGTATATTAGAAGCTATTTTTTTTAATAGGACAAATTATTAATATTATATGAACCTAACTTTTCTGATTCAGACAAATGCATGATTGTGTTGTGATCCTAATGCTCTGCTGCCATCTACTGGCCTCAAATTCAACCTCCAAAACAATAGTAAGCAAACAATAGCAAGCAATAACTTTTAAATGATTGGGAGGAAACTATAAAATAATATTTAGCCAGTAGCTTGCACACAGTCAAATGTAATAACCCACGGAAGATGAGAACAATACACTAAATACACTAAAATGTTTTTTGTCATTAGCAACAATACAAAATATATATTTAGGATAACAGTGATACTTGAGGATGTATTACAACATGTGAATACAAGTGAAATGAATAAAATATGTTTGTGTGGGTTCTATACCTTCACAGCCCCTCTCAATCTGCCCGCTCCGGAACAGGGCGTCGTTGATGAGATCCGGCAGTCTTCCGTTCAGGTCGACCGAAGCCAAACAGCCCTGGAACCCCTCCCTGGACACCACCAGCTTGGGCAGGTTGTGGTACATGTTGGGTCCGAGGCCGCCAATGAACAGGTCGCCTGGACAGCAGCAAAGAGGTCATAATGTCGTTTACTACGGTTAAACACTGAAGTTTTGTTTTACACTCACTTTCATCACCTTGTTTTGAGATATTGATGAAATAAGGATCGGTCTGGGAGAAGTAGTTAAGCTAACGGATTCCCAGTGTGTGGATTTTTTTATTGCTGAAATCACTGATTGCCCAACCTACTCTAGAGTAGTTTATTCTATATGTATTTTTGTTGTGCAAGTGTATGTGTGAGTGTATCCATTTTTTCATGCTCTGTATGAAAAACATAAAGATGCAACCTATGTAAATGTTTTGATTCTGATAACACGGAAAAATAGATATTTGCTTGCCCCTAGTAAAACATAGCATTTTTACATATTGTTTTTAAATGTGTGTAATTTCTTAAGAACATTGTTCTCAATTTATGTGTAAGAAATGTGCTATCCAAATAAATGTATTACAATTATCCTTTCTTTATTGTTTTGCTTGTTTTTTTTTGCATTTTGTAGACATAGTTAGTGTGGCATTTTACTTAAAAAAAAAAAAAAAACTTAAAATAAAAAAAAAGACAAATATTCAAAGATGTACAACAGGATTCAAATTAAATGCAGCTGTATAAGGTCTGATAATAAAACAGTCGCATTTTAACATCATTCATTGGCTTTAAAAGTATTGCAGTGATATTGTGCAGCAGCTTGTCCCTGATGAAAGCTCACACACCTCTCTCCTCTTGCCCTTTCCGACACTGCTTTAACCTGTGACTTTTCCGTGTTGTAGGGACACGAGGCCGCTGTACCTTTGAGGTCCAGGTTCTTGGCCCCATTGACGTTCTGCGTGACAGACTTGGCGTCCACCTTGAGCGTGTGCGTGTTTGAAGCGTCCCGGGTGATGACCACATTGTGCCACTGGTTATCATTCAGGGGGTTGTCGCTGTTGCCCTTCAGCAGACTCGGCCCGTTGCCCAGGTCAAAGACATAGTGGATGAATCTGTCGCCGTGGGAACAACAACATCAGGTCATTTGGACACAGGGAAAGATATTTTTCACCCTATTGCATTACAAAGACAAATTGGAGGTGATTTGATTGATACAAGCCTGTAATAGTAATAAACTCCTACAGCTACAAATGGGGAGAATGCTTTGAAATTGTCTTTAGCTAATGGATCCTTGAATATTTGGTTACATTTAGTAACAATTACAAACTAACTATACTGTACTAAATATCAGGAATACTTTCACTTCCAGAACAGTGTTATGTTATTAGTACTACTATTAACTCCAATGTATCTGATATACATTATTTATAGCTAAACCACTCAGCAAACTAAATTAGTTGAATATGTAATCTAGTCAAGGTTGCAACGATTATTTTGTGGCACACTTGGTAAAAAGCCATCGATATATATCACTGTATACCGTATTTATGTACTGTATATACTGGCACTGTAACATTAGCATTTTACTACTATTTTATGTCAAAAGAGGCCATTTGTTTCTACTCTAAAGCGGTTCAATTTCAATACTGATGTTTTTCAGTTGTTTTAGAGGATATAGAAAATGGAAATAGACCAGGATATTTGACCATTTTGAAATTATAGTTCTATAGTTTACATAGTTGCTTAAATCAATTTAATTCAAAAGGCTCCAGGAAGTGAGTTAAATTTGCACTTTTAAAAAAAGAGAATCAAACAATTCAAACACAGGATAAGTAATGATAACAAACACATTGGTCAATAAGGAGCAGGATGACCAATGTCCGTGAATGTAAATAAATGTTAATACATTGAAGAGTTCTGCATATGCAAAATTTCCATTTTTAAAATGTGTCCAAATATTCTATTCCTCTAGTTACAATCTTCACTGTGTTCTGTTAAAGGCAGTACACTTGAAAGAATTCGCTCAAGAAGGGGTAAAACTTTATTTGTATGGCACTAAAATAGATCTGGCGTTTCACAAAACTACTTGGTAAAGAGAACATTTTAAGCTTTTCCGATGTGTTTCCATGGCACTGATCTGTTTTTGCATATTAACTATAATGTCCCTAAATGTCCCGGATCATCTCTGTCCTTAGACCCCCCCTGCATCGGCACATACAGATCCATGAAATTAGAGATTGACAACTTGATACTACCATAAGTGTATGTATGTACGTATGCATGTGTATGTATGTATTATTAACCCCAAAGGAAATGTAAGCGTTATTGTACAGTAAATACATTAGAGCTCTCACCCTTTGACCAGCTCCACAGCGATGAAGTCGTTCCCGTCTCCGCTGTTGAAGATGATGAATCCGTCGGAGGAGGTGGTTTTGAACTGGAAGAACAGGTGCATGGTGGTGTAGGCCTGCAGCGTGGCCAGTCCCAGGTAACTGCCCTTGGTCTTAAAAGTCACGGGGTCAGCGATGATGGAGCGCACCCCGAACCGCGCGTTCAGTTCACAGAAGTCGATGTCTCCGTTTTTGCACATGTCGATGTACTGCATACCGTTGAACTTCAGGCTCTGAAGGGGGCATCGGACGGGTTGTGTTACAGAAGTAATGTGAGACAGGCTTCTAGTCTAAATCCAGGTTACAAAAAAGTTCTGTTTAGCCATGCATACAACTGAAAGATTGTATCTTCACACTTTTTAATGTATTTGAAATGCTTCGTATGATTGTCTTGTTTTGTTAAGCACTTGTGTATTGACTCGTTGTGTGCCATTGATGCACTAATACATCAATTGCTTTTTCATATCGAATATGTATGGAGGATTAGCTTGAGAGCATATTTTATCGAGCCAGCAGGTGGCACCACCGCTCTATGGATGGTTTGAAAACAGCTAGATGCACTTGTTGTGCCTCTTTTTTCTCCGCTTTTTGGTAATTTCAGTAAAACTTCCCTCTACTCGACTGGGGATTACAGGGGAACGAAACAAGCTAGAAGCAAAATTCTTTTTGCTGATGAAAGTAGACAGTCCATTCTTTCAGAATCTCAATTTCAGATAGTCATAGTATACAATATTCTGTGGGTCTTGAAATAGCAGTAAAAAAAACATCAGAAACGGCTGGCAATATGGGAGTACCTGTTCTGAAATAGGCTGGCAAGCAATGAGTTAACTGAGCCTTACAAATAAACTTACTTTGCATTGCCTACTAGTTATAGAAGTGGTACAATGACATCATACTATCACAGGACTGAGACAGGAGCATTTATACAGTTAGATATTTGTGCCAGAAGTTTCTGATATTAGGGTGCATGGATCTAAAACAACTCTAAAACAATGATTTTCATAATATGGCTCCTTTAAGAAAACACTTGGTGCTCAATGAGTTGCTGAAATAATTTGGAATACCAAAAAAGACAACCATTTCCACACAAAAAAACTATTATGACTCAAAATAACATAACATAACGAGACTTGTAGCAGTAAAATCAGACCACAACATTGTGTCTTCATCTCATACCTGTGGGAAAGAACCCTGTGAGTCACTATTTGATAATGACGCTGCAAGTGTAAAAGAGGTGTAGTCCTATCTTTTACTTTTCTGTCTGAAGAATGTGGCCAAAAATGCATGCACCGCATCAACAATGTGATTATAGTCGCAAAACCTAGTGATAAAAACTGTTTTGAGGAACTAGTTCATCACATTTGTTGATTTGAAAATGAGGTACTGGACCTTTAAGGTGGTTGACAAAATCTTTTGATGGAACGTGCAGCACTTTCATTTTTTTAAGCACTATATAGAACAATATGTCATAATCAAATAACTAAAATACCATGTTGTTCCTCTAATCTCACCTGCAGGTGTCCGATGAAAGGAGAAGGAGTAGTAGACACAAAGCGCTTCTCTGTCAGGATTCCCAACTCCACGTTGTTGAACTCCAGGCGAGTGTGATCGCCCGCCATTTGACCTGGGTATAGTGCAATATGAGAATGACAGACTTTTGCATACTTGTACATTCTGCCATTGTGTCATTGCACAGGATGTGCAGGCAAAGAAAGCATGGTATGTCTATGTATAATAGACAACCATTCACAAAACTTTACTTCGAAATTAAGTAAAAACCATAGACTGTATGTAAAAACATGAAGTGTTTTTGTATTATGTTCCCACCACAAACTCTATTACAGTTAAGCTCACCCTCCAAACAACATCTGAAGGTTTCTGCCAGGTCTAAAGTTAAATTAGAGCCAAAAATATCAAAATATGCCATATAGTGACAGGTGGTGCAAAAAACAAACAGATGGCTCCTCAAAGGGGCGTCCAAGTTCATTATTATCAATATAAAGTATTTCATGTATTACTTTATGTAGAGCTTTAAAATAAATGATTCGTGCAATATTTGAAATACAACCAATCATAATGACATTCTTACAAACAGATAAACATACATGCATTATGTCTTCTTTATGTTTAAGGGTTATAAAGTTCGTAAACGTGTAAAGATGCTTCATCACCAGCACGAGGCCACGTGCTTCTTTACGTGTGTGTGTGTGTGTGTGTGTGTGTGTGTGTGTGTGTGTGTGTGTGTGTGTGTGTGTGTGTGTGTGTGTGTGTGTGTGTGTGTGTGTGTGTGTGTGTGTGTGTGTGTGTGTGTGTGTGTGTGTGTGTGTGTGTGTGTGTGTGTGTGTGTGTGTGTGTGTGTGTGTGTGTGTGTGTGTGTGTGCGTGTGTGTGTGTGTGTGTTAGAAGAACCTCTGGGTAAACGTGTCAGAATGGCTCAGTGTTCGACATGACATGCTGTAAATATATTTCATTCCACGTACAAATTGGACTTACTGAAAACAGACAAAATGTGCAAGTCGAAAGTAGCCCTGCTCTTGTGAATATCCCCATCCTACCTTCGGACATGTCGTCGTCCACGGTGAGTTTGAAGTGCTTTCCGCGCCGCAGCACCCTCACAGAGTGCCACTCGTTATCGTTGAGTTTCTGGCCCGCATAGAGCACCTCAGGGCCTTTGCCTGAAGAGGAGGGGGAGTTAGTGGAGGGAGGGGAGGGACAAGCACACACCTCTACTGCCACAACACGATACCATCATGGCTTTCATTGTATCACAAGTTTCCCATTTGCAAGATGACACAAAGTAATTGTTGGAAGATTCTATTATTAACTCTGGCGTTACTGGACTTGACCACTAGAGGGCAATGCTGCTCCACCGACGTCAAACGCGTAGAACACATGCAGGTGTTTATGCTCTAAACTAGAATATTGAAATAGGTTCATTTACAACCAAATCTACTATAATTATCCGTTATTATCATAGAAGGTTGAGTTTTTATCACTAATCATTTGATCACTAGCTCCATATGTTATTTGAACATTTAAATAGTACACTGCATAAATAGTTCCCAAATAGGTTGCGTTCATGTGACATCTTCATGACACCAAACAAATTAATATTGTGGTGGAGGGCAGCTGAAAATCCGGTCTGGTAACTATAGTAACAGTGAAAAGGCAAGCTTCTAATTTCTCCACAATCTTTGTCAGTACATATCAACTATGGTCAAATGATTATTATTTTTTATAAAGGTGTATTATATTATATAATATATTATATAAATATATTCAGAAACTTAAGCATGCTGTTGGCCAATAGAAAGGGTGCTCATATAGAGGAATAATATGGTGTGTTTGTGATCTAATCACTAGAAAATAATGATCCAAGGAAAACATTTGAACATAATAGAAATCTAAGACATGAACCCAACCTATTGGTGCATAGCCCACTGGATACTAATGACTGTAATACATACTTTAACTAATTTACAGTTATAAGAAAATGCAAATGAACATAATAATCCCTCAAACATGCACTATCTAGCTAAGCACATATTGATAATAGTATTTGAAGTGTCAATTCCGAAATTTATTTAACTCTATCAAAGGAAATGAAGTCGAATTTGCATAACTTTGATCTGCCCATTATTTCTCCTAGAGTTATCACGGAAACGCTGTTATCGGCAGAACACATGCGCACACTGGCAGCACAAGGCTGAATCAAAGAGTGATTGAAGAAGAGAGTGGACTTACTGGAGTTACAGTTTATCCTGACACAGTCTAGATGGGAGGGAGAATAAGTGACAGATGAAATCGCATCCTTCAAGGTTACAGCTGCAGACAACCAAGAGCAGAAAGCCACCTTCCGGGGACGGTCACATGCTGGCCGCGACCATTTTAGTCTCTCCATTTTCCACTACACCAATATTTCCTGTCTTTATTTGAGACAGTGCTAGGCCTGTCACAATAACCAATTTTGATGGAGGATATATGTGACTGGTAAAAGATGGAACATGTCTACCAAGAAGAATTTATAAGAGTGATTGAAAGTGTTTCTTAGATTTCTAAAAAAAAAATACAATATTTTTGATGGAATTTTGTGCAGTTTTACTACTGTGTCCTTTCTTTCCCCAAGGCTTGTCAGATAATGCCTCTGAACCTCTAACCCTAGCCCTAATTGCTCAATTCACTAAAAAGCCTAAAATAAACAGCACTATGAGCAAAAATATACATGTATTTAATATTGAGACCAAAATATATAGTTTGGTCATCAGTTATAATATAACTAATACATCAGTTATAGAACGTAGACATAGTATTTATCATGACAGGCCTAGACAGGGCTACGACGATAAAAAATGAGTTATTTCTTTGATGTCTTCTTATTGTGGATGACAAATGAGCTAATATTTTAAAATGGTCGTTTGGTTTGGCCACATTGATTTTACAACTGGACAATAAATGCCAAATTATTTTTGTCACAGCAAGATAGGGTGACTATAATCATGTTTTTGATTAAAAAGCATTTTTTTTTTTACATCACAATTCTTTATATATTCATTATTTAAGAATTGGAAAAATGCCACATCATACATGATTGTGTTTGTATTGGTGACTGCATTTGGTGTGCCCATTTGTGTAGATTTTTATATATTGTTTTAATTTTTTTTTGTTACCTTATAGAATTTTATTTTTATTTTGTTCACATTTTTTGGTCCTAGTTGAAATCTGTGTGACCAGGCTAATCATGTGCCGTCAACCGCAACAGAAAAGTGGAAGCAAACAGCGACGAGCCACCGAGCACCTTCACCTATCAATGTCTAGTCACCCACAGCGAGCCAGGCCAGTGCAGGTCAAATCTCAAAAAAAGCTTAGAAAACATGTTTTTTCTTTAGCTGTGTGTTTTTGTATACAGTTGTTTTGTCTCTATACTCCATGTGGACAGTGCAAGGTGCTGTGGCGTCGCGCTGTTTGCCAACGGGCCGCAGACTCTGGGCCTTTGAAGGGGTGAGTGCCATCTTTGATCACACCATGAGGGATGCCATCTAAAGTCCCAGGGGAGCTAATGGACAGAGAGGAACATGGGGCTGCTATGATGAAACCGAAACCCAGAACAAAAACAGACCCACAAAAAAATAGCATTCCAGTGAAAAAATAATAATCAAAAACTACTGAACAGGCGGCAGAAGACTATGTTTAGAATGGTTTTGATCCTTTGTGTGTATCTAATGTATATCTTGTGCTGAAAATGATCGATATAGGGCTGTAATGAACAATTATTTTGTATTAATCAACTCTTTTTTTTTTTTTATCCCAGGGTCAGCAAATATTGGATTTGTTTTCCCTCTGCATTCATTATATAATTATCTGAATCATAGATCCTCTTCACAAGAAGTTTAAGAGTCTATGTAAGGTCAAATAAAATCGGTTAGCTGCAGTTAATCGATTCAGTTGTTACAGCCCTAGATCAATGCTTGGTCCAAAGAGAGCTGGTGATTTTTTTGGAGAAATGGGTAAATAATGTAAAAAAAAAAAAAAAAAAACATCTCAAGCCAAAAAACTCCAAGCAGAACAAGGCATGCAAACACTTATGAACTAACAGCTCACATCTAGGTTAGATACAACTCAAACAGGAATACAAATTATTAGACTACAAATATAATGCAGCTGTGGGCCCACGTAAAGACGGTTAATACGATACCGAGGTTGACGGTGAGTTTGACACGCCCGCTGTCCAGCTCCAGCCGCAGAGTGTCGGCAGATTCCCTGGATGTAGCGGCCACTAGCAGACCAAAGGCTCTCTGGGACGTGAAGCGCAGGGAGACGTCCTCCGCCTCGGTGTGCATCACATGAGGGATCACCACTTTCATGTACATGCTGCCGTCGAAGGACAGAGTGGACGACTCTGTGGGACCACACACAAACATACTGGTCAGATACTGTATGGGGTTTTACTGTGGGAGTGATGGGTGCAGTGGTTAAATATGGAGTCTTACTATGGGAGTGATGAGTGCACTGGTTGTATAGTTTTTTTTTTTAACTATATGGTAGAGATGAGTGCACTGGTTTAATATCGTTTTTTTACTAAGGGAGTGATGGGTGCACTGGTTGTATATGTTTTTTTTATTTACCATATGGTAGAGATGAGTGCACTGGATAAATGTAGATTTTTTACTATGGGAGCGACTTAACCAATGCACCCATCGCTCACAAACATTACAATCAAAAATAAGATGCAACTAAACTTTCCCAAACCATAGCCACAACTCTGCTCCTAAACGTCCCCCTTTGATCAGTCATTCACCGCAGACAGTTGTAAGAATCCCTTAATTAGTCGCTAAGCTGACAACTCCATACTATTGATTGATGGTATAAAGTACATTCAATATGCTTTGGAAGTGATTTACATGTCCATTAGTATTCACCGCTCTGCTGTTTCACACTAACAGTTTCTCTTTCTGTTGCAGGGTCAGCTCAAGACAGCAACATTATTCAAAGTAAATTACACCTGAGCACTGAAAGAAAAATAAACTGTCATTATATCCATCGTTCATCTTCCTTTAGTCACAGTGTTATCGAATATTTACAGTTTGTGCTGCCACTCCACTGACATCACAACCAGTGCATCAAAACACATGTCATTCCACCATTTTGTATCTTAAGTGACTTCTTTCTTAAGATTGAGTAGGGACATGATGTTACATGTAGTTTCCTCAAAAACCATCAGTAATGTAATGCGTTGTTGAGACGTATGCTTGTTATGCTCTTGTCTGACAGCTCTATCTAAAGACCCACACCTATAATGTAAGCTTGTGATGTTTGTATTGCACTACTGTAGTGTGATTCGGTGGAAGGCATGTATGCGGATGTCCCATATGGCCAGTCGCAGCTGCCGTCATCAAGTTGTGACAGGTACAAGCGTGGAATCACAGGCTGCTCACTGTGCAGAAAATTAAATCATCAAAACCACATCATCGACCAAGCACGCCGCCTTTCTTTAATGAACAATTTGTATGTACAATTCATATGCAGGCCGGTGCAATCTAGGCTAGCAGCTATCTTAAAGGCCAATCTAGAACGTTCTATATCGTAGAAGGGCTGTAACAAGTTAATCAATTACTCACAATTTAAAGATGCTGAGAGGAGGTATTTCTCAAGAAGGCTGGGCTGTAATCACTGTGATACAAAATGAAATAGAACTGTGTTTCAAGTATTTTTCATTGAAATTCATTTGAAATCTCATATTGACTGACCTTTTGTTATCTAACCACCTATTGTATACAACCGATAGAATAACTGTTCAACTGATTAATTATTTCATAAAAATAGCTATTTATCTAGTATCTCATTAATTAATTATTAAAGGCATATAGGTTATCTGTACTTCTATCAAAGTGAAAAATCCTAAAACATGTCAATTTGTATATTGTACCTTCTAAGTATACATTTCTGATGTCCCACATAATCTGTCCAGTGTCAGGACTTGTTGGACTTGGACTTGTTGACTGCACAAAACGGCAACCTATCTATTTTGCATTTAGTCAAATGTCTGTTTAGGGCTTAAATTACATTGGGTTGTCAGTTAGTTGCAGACTGCACAGAGGAAGATGGCTTTAGTCATCCAATTTAAAAAGTGATTCCATTATCATCCAATGATTGTCCATGCAAACTCTATGCTTGAAAATGCAAAGAGCATGTGTCATATTCACTCCTCACATAAATTGTTCAAACCAAGTGATGTTGTTGCGTGTATTATTTCAGTACATTAGATAAAGACATGTCAGTTAAATGTCTCCTTTTGCATATGGCTTCCGACACTGTTCTGTTCCGGCTGTAAAACAGAAGATTTTGGCTTCTGTAAATTGTGAAAGTCTGAGTGCAGTGAAGCAGGAGATCCAACATCAGCGCTGCTGCCGACTCTAGAGAATCTCCACAGATTAAAATGTGTATTCGACCATGAAATACCTGCTTTGACACCTTGCCTTCAAAGGAAGAAATAGCCCATAGTCCAGGGAAATATGGTACAAAAATGTGAGTTCTGCAGCAACTATTGAACACAAACGATTCAAAAAAGTCACAGTTTTAATCAGACAATTAGTTGTAACTAAAATAGGCACGGTGGCTGGGTGGATAGCACTCTCGTTTCTCAGCAAGAAGGTCCTGGGTTCGAATCCCAGTCGGAACAGGGCCTTTCTGAGTGGAGTTTGCATATTCTCCCCGTGTCTGCGTAGGTTTCCTCCGGGTTCTCCGGTTTCCCCTACCACTAAAAACATGCACAATAGGTATGAATGTAAATGAGAGAGTGAATGGATGGTGTTGATTGGGGGCTAACCCTAACCCTAACCCAATATCTGAACATTGTTAAGCGCTTTGGGTGACCTTGGTCTGTAAAATGTGCTATACAAATAAACATTACTTACTACAAATGCATGTTAAGTTTGCCTTTGATAACTTTTTCTCCCGAGGGAAATGTTTTGTTCTTAGATGGAACTATTCCAATGATCTGTCTCAACCCAATCCATTGAACCCAGTTTTACCAATGCAGACATTTTACTTGTCAATAAAACCCATCACTCATTAGGTTGGGTGCTTAGGCTGAGTCAATTATCATTAAGCTAACAACTTGAACTTGTACTACAGTACGAGTTTATTCATAATACTCTTTTGTCCAGAAATGATGCTACTGTATTCACATAATGGTGCAAAGATGGTGATATTTAACATTCCAAACAAACTATTGGACTATTGTGTTCTAGCACTGTACCTAATAAGACTTCCTATAAAAAATGTGTTCTGCTAGCTTCAAAGTTGAGATGTGTTTGTTTGTTTGAGAGAAATTACAGGGAGTGAGAGAATAGAACGAGTGTGTCATATTTCCTGTTCAGCATCATAGCAGTGCTGCCTATTATTTCTACAAAGGGATTTACTCCCTGCTGTGGCCAGAAGAGGGTGCCAGACACATCAAACAAACAATTTAAATACATGTGTGAAATACATGCTTATTCATTTGCTATATGTCGTTCAAGACTATGATTCACTCAAATTAACATATTATAGATGTCTCCCTTTAACTATAGCTCTATAGCTCTAACTTTTTGATGTTTCACAAACTGCTGGCTGTCAGTGATCAATCTGAAGTGTTGTGTGCAGCCCATTGAAGCTTCTCCACTAAGAGCAGAGCTAGAGGTTTTTGCCTGACTGCAGTCTGATGTAATTTATTCCCCTCAGCATGTCTCTTTCCAGCTTGAGTGACAGAAAAGTCCAAACACGGAAATGGAGGGTTTATTTGGAAGAGGCACTCGGTTAATTTGAAACCACTGAGGCTCGCTTTAAGGAAAGATAACTCTCGTCTCCTCTAAAGAACTGGCATGAACTGACAGTAAGCAAATATGAAGATTCAGGGTGAATGTAAATAAAAAGCTATGTTTGCATCTTTGACAGTTTTGACCAAGATTTTGGGTGCAGGGTAAATATGGACAATCTTAGCTACTGTAAGTGACAACTAAAACAGGTTACAGTCCAATGTCAATGACAGTCATGGGAACTAAAATGTAGAGCAGTGCTTCTGTGCCACTGCTGGTGACCTCCTTTTGCGAGTAGAATCCAGCGCTTTCAGTGAAAAGAACTGCCTGAGTAGAATCTTGCAAATATGAATTCTTAGAAAATACAGAATATAATGCAGATTGTTTATGATTTGTTTTGACATTTCAGAGTTTCCATTTTTTGAAGGTGGCCTGTTCTAGAATACAATGGCGCATTATGCTGTGGCAGATTGGTTAGCACTCTCGCCTCCCACCAAGAGGGTCCTAGGTTTGATTCTTGGTCCTTTCTGAGTGGAGTTTACATGCTCTCACTTTTCTTGCACTGGTTTCCTCCAGGTGTTCCAGTTTCCCCTGGCACTAAAAACACAGGTAAAATCCTCCAGCTGCTCTAGTCCGGACCAAAAAATTGGTTTATATCACTATGTCACTGTCAATAATTGGGTTCAGTCTTAAACTTACAAGCCACTGTCATCATCAGGACAATTGGCTCGTCTGTGCAACATCAACACAAGAATATGCCATAAAATTGCACAGAGTGCAAGGATACAAAATAATATACTCATAAAAGACCACAAATAAAAAAAAAATCATTTACACAATAAGCAACAAAGTACATATGACTAACGTGCTAGAGTGGCGCAGATTGAGGACATTGCACACGCCCAAACAAAGTGCTTGTGCAGTTGGAAACACAAAAATCATTGCACATGCCTGATTATGGGAAAAGTAGAGCGCTAACATCAGTTGCGCATGCGTGAAATCACTGCACATATAAGATGTATGTGTGTAACTTTTTTATATCAATTTGAAGAACAACCCTGGGATCAGGACAGGATCAGCAAAAGTAACTGTACACACCAAGTCTACCTATTTAGTACTGCATTCTGCCCTTACACTTTATTATGGCCATTTTTACTTAACCCGTATAAAGTTGCACCTACAATACCCAAACAACAATGTTTTTTTTCTCATCCATTCTTGCACAATCCTTCAATGCCTGTCTTGGGATCACATAGCAAACTTAAGCTTGAAGTGTTCTCAGTGTGATACCACTTTTGACCGTGAGTTCAAACGCAAACTGCATAACAAAGTTTGCAGGGAATACAAAACTCAATACACAATATGAATTTCAACAACATTGTTACAGTATGATTTAGGAGTGGGCTAACATTTTCTGATCGATTGCCGCTTTGTCTCCACGGAAATGTTATTGCACAGGCTGGAATAGAGCAAGACATCTACAGTACGACCTTTCTGCTATTCAGTCCACTCAAACACACGCAACACCTAAAAATGCTGATGCAATTAGACTAAAAGTTTGCTTGGGGATACAAACTTTATTCTGTTTTTTTTTGTTTACAGC